ATTTAAAAATGGGCAAGACTTGTGTACTTAATCTTATGTACTTAATATACTTATACATACTAAAATCATGACAAATAAATCTTAATGTGTTAATAAAACAAATAATGACAATTTATTATAGAATAAATAATCTATAGAAGATTCATGTGTATTGATTTAATTAAAAATAAATACATTAAATATATAAGGGTAAGTATGTAATTTAAATCTTTTCCTTTAAAAAATTTGCCAAAAAACATGAATTTAATTAGACAATTAATGCTTTATTGAACTACTGATTGAAGAGTCGTTTGTTCACGGGTTAGTAAAAAAGATGGGTTGAATTTTCTGAGTAGCAATAAAATTCTCCTTACTTAGTTCATTAAAATTTTTTCGGGAGTAATCAAACATTACACTTCCCTTGCAAATAGAGAAGCAGTCTATAGTTTGAAAGAGGATAACTCGTGAAATGATGTTCAAATTTTTTGAAGGATTAATTTTATAAATATTGACTTTGGAAATACTTTAGGTGAAAAAATAAAAGTAGTCTACTCATTAGAACTGGGAAATTCTATTTTTTTTTAAGTATTTATTGTGTATTTTCAAATTTACCCTTTTTTTCCAACCCACTCAACCTTACAAATTAAAAATTAAAATTATATTAAAATGATATTTTTATCTTTAGCATTAAAGCTTTATATTTTTGGTAGAAATTAAATATACTATATTTGTTTATAAAGTACTAATTAGTATTCCTATGATTTCAAAAAAATAAAACAAATAATCAGATATGAATTTTATTAGAAATTATTTTTTTTGGGAAATTCACTATATCCTATGTATGTGCGTGCATGCATGTATATATTAAAACATGCCATTCCATTGTAGAGAAATAATTGTTTTCCTTTTTTTTTAATTTTTAGTAAATATGTATGTTGAAATATCATGCATTCGTGTGGGATACATTTTAAAAAATAGGTGTGACTGTGTGAGATTCATGGTGAAAAACTGGTGACTATGGGACTAATGTAAAAATCATAAGAGTGAGATTTACAATGAAATTACATATTTAATATAAATAAAGTATAAAAAAGTAGGTATGTAATTCATTGATTTTTTTTATTGGTAATTTAATTTTTAAAATAATAAATTTTAAATAAAATAATAAAAATTTTAATTTTTAAGATTGTCTCAATTATCGATTTTGTCTTTCAAATTTAATTTTTATCAATTTAATCCCTTACTTTTTCTTAAATTACCATCTTAATCCTTTAAATTTTAAAATAAAAATTAACTTCAAATTAATTTAATATATAAAATATATTGATGACTTAGCAGGAATATGTATCTAAATGATAACTAGCCTTCAAACCGTTTTTTTAACATTCGAAACCATTTAAATTTTTATTAATTTTATCCTTTACATTGCATTTTATTCTTTTATTTTTTAAAATTTTTGAGTCTCTTTTTTCATATATATACAAATACATTTCTTTTCACTAATTTATATGACAAATATGAATATTCCCTTATCTATGTTTGTAAATTTTGGCAGAGTTATGTTTTCTTTAAACGATAAAAATCAATTTGCTAACTTAGACAAATATAACGGATCAAACAGAAAAAAAAAATTAATTTTAAAGACAAAATTGATAATTGAGATAAACTTAAAAAATTAAAAATTTTATTATTCAGTAGAATTTTTTTTATAAAGTTGAATGTGGTATTGCTTAAATTTTAATTTACATGAGCATAACATGCACTGATGCACATCATGAAATATGCTTGGGGTGACAGGTTGTAAAATAATTTGCCTAGAAAGAAAATAAGCTTTTGTATATATTCTTAATTTTAATATGAATGAGGTATCAGGTGTGTTATTTATTTCGGCCAAGAAAAGAGGTTTATTATTCATACTTTAAATATGTATAAGGATTAAAAATTCTCAAAAAAAAAAAGTTGTTGTTCAGGCTCGTAGATTCTTAAGATGCACGTAAATATTTATAGTTTAAAATAATTTGTTTGGAAATAAAATAAGTTATTGTACTCCTATATATTTTTAATATCAACGGAATATCTTAGTATAACTTTATATTGTTAATATGCACGTAAAACTAGTAAATTCTAAACTAGATTATGTTGTTTTATTCTAAACTAGTAAATTCTAAACTCATGTTTAATTTTTTCCTAGGATGATGCCTGAAACAAACTTTAAAATAGAATAAGTTGTTACTAATATTTAATCTACATCAAATACCAAATTCTACCTATACAGAAATAAACCATTATTGTCATTTTTCATTTTTAAATTTTATTTTATTTTTCTTTTCAAATACTAAAATATCTCCATGCGAATCACATGTCTAGTTAAATTAATATAGAACATGACTAAGGGCTTGTTTATTTCAACTCAGTTCATGGAAAAATTATTTTTTTTTAATTTATTTATGAGTTTTTATAATGTTTGTTTAACCTTTTAAAAATAATTAAAATTTTAAAAAAACTACATGAAATTTTTTTAAAAAACGACAGGATACATAAATATATTATAAAAATTTAAAATAACTAAATAATAAATTGTTATTATAAAAAAATCAAAAGAAGATATCACAAAATTTAAAAATAATAAAATAAAAATTATTTTTTTATAACAACTAAACATAAAATATTATCTTTTTTTATAAAATCTTTAAAAATAAATATTTTCATAAAATTTTCAAATTATTTAAAAATTATCTATTTTTAATAAATGAAATAATGTCTGTTTTTTATAAAATATCTACAAAATAAATATTTTTTATAAAAATTTTAAATTATTTAAAATTTATTTTCTTTTTAATAAATGGATCCTAATACTACATATAAAGATACTAGTAGGTCAATCAATATTGAAGTCATTTAATTTAATTTTTAATGTAAAATTCAAATTTTTTTTATTTACGAATGAACAGAACCCACCAACCGCAGGAGGAAACGTGGACACAGGACAGTTTACCACACGTTGCGCGTGCGTCATGAGTTATGGCCGATATGGTGGGACCACTCGCCGTGATGGGAAGTTGGTGGCTTAATTCCCACCCTCCCCTGTTGGTTACTGCTTCGTTGCTGCCACCGTCTTATCCAAATTATTTTTTCTTTTTTTTTAATGCACAAATTATCAGGATTAATACGGTTTTGGATATCTAATTAATAATAATAGTATTGGTCAAAATTCGAAGCAACATACATTCGTAAAAAGTAGGGGGCGTTCAACCAATCTAGGACCTTCGTTGGCCCGGTCTTACCTAAAAAGACGGGATTGATCTCAGTAATCGGGTCGACCTAGATATCAGATTGAGTCCTAACCCGATTTTACCCCGCCAAGGATATATATATATATATATATATATTTGATTCTTTGTTAATATTACTTGATTTTATGAGACCGTTTTTCTTCTTAGATCATACGCTAACAAATTATTTTATTATTATTGCCAAAAAATTTAAGAAATAAATATATTATTTTTATTTAGAATTTTAATTTGATTTCTTCGATTAATATTATATAAAAATAATGTATAATCAATATATTTTTTTGTAATTTTAAAAATATTCTTTTGATCATAATGTTATTTTTAAGGAATTGTAGTTCTAGATACAGTAATATTGAGATAATTTAATATTTAAGGTCATTTATTATTTTAATTTTTAAATTTATTTAATAATTTTTTTCCAAAGCAAGAACAAACCTAGTCTTTTCAACGTGGTTGGTGTTGTCCCCGGGGTTCTTGGTCCACAAAGACCATGCACCGTATTTATGGCCAGCCGATCTTGTCCAGCCTTCGTGCACTTCTAATCTTCTATAGTAAATAAATGTTACTCTTCCGTTGAATATTATAAAATATTTTTAATTAATTTTTACACACTATTGTTATGTTTATACCATTTTTGTCTCAATTTGAAAAATTATTATTTACACTCCTAATTAAAAATATTTTTAAAAAATCTCATTAATTATACTTTAAAAAATCTAAAATGTCTTGTATTTTTTAAATATCATATCTAAAAAAATGTCTCTTATGTTTTTTTTTAATAGAGAGAGTAAAACCTCAAGATGGATATTAATATTTTAGTTGATATTTTAATAGACAAATAAAATAAAAATATGATCTACTCTCTCCGGTTGAAAACATAAGCATTTCCTTTCAATTAATCTTGGTTTAAAATATAAGAAATTTATTACATGTAAGAATTTTTTTTTAATTTTATCTCTTGTATTTACTAGCCCAAATCTTTGCATAAATACATCTCTCATTTATCACAAAATGTATTGATAAATGAAAGTAGGAATAAAAAATAAAATACTCCCTCCATTAAAAAATGTATGGTATTTTTAATCGAATCTCGCCTCCTAATAAAGTAGTTACTTACTTTCAAATTAACCTTATCTTTCTATATTTATTCCTATTAAATATCCTATAATAAATATAAAATTATTATCAATAGGGGTATTTTTTTAAAAAAGGCAATGATTACACCTTAAAAGATTAAAAATATTTTATATTTTTAAATATTTAACTTTTAAAAAATCTCTTATATTTTTAAACGATAGTAGTATATTTTTATGACCATAAAAATTTTACTGTTATTTTAATATTTTTTTAAAAAACTGATCATGCATTAATTAAGAAGAAGTAAAATTTAATAATAGTACAATCTAGCGTTCTAAAGTGATTAATGAAGTCCCTGCAAAGAATGGATAGGGGCAACCAAACCAATGCATACGAGGAAACAGTCAACACCCAGAAGGAGACTACTGGTCTGCTTCCGATTCTAAATAGTAAATACTACTACTTATTAGCTGACTCTACTATAGTTTGGCACCACATGGCTCTTTTATAAAATAATTTTTGGAACCATGTCCCCATCTCACCAACTTCTCTTTTTACCTCCTCCGCTATTATTATTGTCATTTGTGATCCTCAATCCCACTTCTCCATTTCCCTACCTCTCTCGCCATGACGCCTTCTGACGTGTCGCCCCCTCATTGGCCTTCCTAGTTGGCGCGGTAGGTGAGTGACCCCAATTCGTCCCTTTCATAAATTGGCCTCTCTTCACGTTCATCTCATTCTCCCCCTCCTTCCGTCCGCCACCAAATCTCCAGCTAATCTCCCTCCCTCCCTCTTTCTCTCACTTTCTGGTAATGCTTTCCTTCTTTCTCAATAGTTAATTGTTAACTCCTCTGAATTCCATTACTAGATGTTCGGTTTCTTTCCTCTCTCTGCTGCATTTCTCCCTAATTAATGCTCGGCATTCCCATGTTCGGACGTAATAAATGTAACTGTTCGAGTCGGATTTCTCACTGTTGTTATTTTGTTCTGTTTTGCAGTGGGACCCACGGCCTGCAATGATCATCAACGTGAAGGCGTCCACCATGGTGCGGCCGGCGGAGGAGACGCCTAGGCGGGCGCTCTGGAACTCCAACGTCGACCTGGTCGTGCCTAACTTCCACACGCCCAGCGTCTACTTTTACCGGCCCACCGGTGCCGCCGACTTCTTCGACGCGGAGGTTATGAAGCAAGCTCTCGCTAAGGCTCTTGTTCCGTTCTACCCGATGGCCGGCCGGCTCCGCCGCGATGAGGACGGTCGTGTCGAGATTGATTGTAACGGTGAGGGTGTGCTCTTGGTCGAGGCCGAGACCACTGGCGTGATTGACGATTTCGGTGACTTCGCTCCCACGCTCGAGCTCCGGCAGCTTATTCCCGCCGTCGATTATTCTGGTGGAATCGAAACGTACCCATTGTTGGTATTGCAGGTACGTTTCAGTTTTTGTCAACTTACTACTCTGTTTCTGGATTTGGGCGAATAGCAACTTTGAGATGGTTCATTCCCGAGAAATTCTTGCAAATTCATTTTTGATTAGTTTATTAGAGGGACATTTTTTTTTTTTCAGTTTGACATGGTTCCTGGTTATTTAATTACTACTCCTAACATGACATGTTTCTAAAATTTAAAAGTTCATTAGCTTTGTATAAAAAAATAAAACTTGAGTTAGTTTTCAATTTAACCTCTACTAAATTTACATGATCTAATAACCGTACTTTCTCTCTTTAATATTTTGTTAAGGATAAGAGAGGAAATTTATAATAAAAATTTAATAATATGAATTACAAATGACAAAAAAAAAAACTTCCCAATCTTATAAATAAGACCAGGCAATATATAAATTAATTTTTTTATTTCATTTTACAAAAAAATTATTTTTGCCCTTGAATTTTTTACATAGCGTTTGTAGGCATTGTGAACTTTATTTTGAATTATTTTTATTTTTGAACTATTAAAACTCCACACCTCATTCACACGTCACTTATTCATCATTTTTTTATTTATGTGGATGCATTTTAGAATACATCTGGTTAGGTTTTTTTTAATATTTAAGGGAAAAATAAAGAAATCAAGTTTAGGACTTCAAGTGTCCCTAAGTAAATACTTCAAAAACAAAAATAATCCTATTAAGTTTTGACTAGCTATATAATTGGATGCTACATGGCTCCAAAAAAAATTAACAAAATATGTCTAGTTACATAGATAATGGTTAACAATTGGTGCGTGGAGAGCACCACAGCGAGACATTGAATTTTAAAAATGCATAGGCAAAAATAACTTAAGATTGAGTTTATGACACCTTCAAGCCCTATGTAAAAAATTCAAGGAAAAAAAATGACTATCAACCCTTCATTTTATGTCTTTTTAAAAATTCAAAATTATATTTATTAAAACTTTTTCTATTATATTTTTATTTACTCCAACAACTTTAAAATATTAAATTTTAGAGAAAATTTGGTAATATAGCCAACACTTATATATTTTAATATAAATGTTAAGAAAAACATATATTTTGAAAAGGAATGTATAATTAAAACAAAAGTATACTTGTTGAAAGCTGCGACTCGGATTTAAACACCTCACCTTGTTTAGAATCATCTGATGGCATCTAGGAGAAGATGCTATTGGTAATTATAGATTAGAAGCTTAATTTATTCATTCAACATTTGAACTAAGAGTGTTTAAAATTGATCCAAACTGAAAGATCAAACCAAACTAATCCAAACCAAAGTGAATTAATCAAAACTGACCATTAATCAAGTCTACTTTAATTTTTATTACTCACATATCGATTGGTTCAGTTTAGTTTCGGTTTTAAGATATGGAAACCAGATTGAACTTGAACCAATCTTAATTAAAAACAGTATTTATTTATATAATATGTATCTAATTAATTCCAACACCCAATTACCTAAACCTTGACCAAAATACTTCATTATGCATATTTTTGTATGTTTGCTACTTCCTATAGGTGATGAATTTTCTCTATGAAGATTCAAATAGTGCATGTAATATAATCATGAAAATGATTAGTTGATTACCATCATTATTTTGATTTTCTGCTACTTACAATCATAAAATTAATTTGCATTATATATATATTGGATGGCACAAGGAAATTGATGAGATCATAAAGACATAGTACACTTAAAGCTAATGAAATGAAGAGATAAATAAAATTAATATAATATGAACATATCTTTTTATCTTTGATTCATTTTAGACCAAGCAAAAAATAAATAAAAATAAAAAAAAGATGAACATGTATGCATATGATATGTGATTGATCAAGATTCAAAGACTTTTCAATTTTCATAAATATGATATGATTGTGATTGAAATAAAATATGAGGTAAACAAGAACCTTTCATATACTAAAAGAGCTAATAATGTATAAATTAATTCAAATTAAAAAAAATCAACTATTATAATGATGGCAAAAAAGAAAAAAAAAGTTAAATAAATTCATTGAAGTTTGATTTAAACCTTTACCAAATCAAACTAAATTGAAACAAAAACCAAACTAAATTGATTAAGTTTTACTAATGATTAAATTGATTAGTTCAGTTTGATCTGCTTTTGTTTTAAAATTAAATTAAACCCAACCAAATTTGTGAACACTCCTAATTTGAACGCTCTGACTTTTTATTTGGATTAAATGTACAGTAGTCTACTGGAAGCTCATGGTACTGATTAACAAATTAAATCCGGGATAACGTGCGGCGAGATCATTGAGTGTTGCTTTTAGAGCCCTAAATATTATACTAAAATTGCAAAAGGATTTTCTAATAAATACATGCATGCGTGTACGGGGCATTTGAAAGGTAGTCAATTATGGGCACCCCACTAAAATTTGTCTTCTTGTTATCCTTTCGCTGCCACTAAATATAAGTCATAATATTAAAAAGCATATAAATAAAAAAGATACCAAAATCTACGTCTTAATGTAAAAATTAGTTTTCCTTTCTATTTAATATCATAAAAAAGAATACATGAATTAAATAAAAAAAAAAACTCAAATCGAACTGATGAATTGGTTAGATGACCGATCCAGTTTATGATCTAACTTGAAATAATATTAACCTGAACTAACTTAATTGACTCAGGAGTGGTCAACCTCATAGTAACCCGTTTGTGACCTAATCAATCTGGTCCATTTATTTAAAAAAAATTATTTAATTATTTAATTTTTATTGGGGTTTTATTAAATTTGCTGAATTTTTGTTAGGATTGGGCTTATGTGTATAAGATTTTTCTCTCTTTATTGAATTTTTTTGGGTTATTCGAATAGAACTAATTATTTTTTATTTAAACATTTATATTTTCATATTCAAACATGAATATTTTTATGTATATAAATTAAATTATATTATTTTAATTAAGAATGCTTTGACTTTAGGTTGACTCTTAGTTGAACCATCAATCCTTAATCTACTATCTTAATTGATTAAATGATCGGTTTATTTTTTTAATATTTTGCATGTACTTATAGAAATTTAATGATAGATAAGAAGTTTTATATTTTTTATAGGAAATTTTTTTTATAAGTACAAGGAATGAGCTCCATTGCCAATAGAAAATATCTTCCTTGAGATGCTGAGAAAAATAAATAGACATCTCTAAGTTAAGTTACTACATACAATTGAGGTATTTTTAAAAACAAGTATTAATTATACTTAGAAATTAGAAATTTCTATTATAATTTGTATTTTTTTGGCCAAATATTAGAATTTGTATTTAAGAACAAGAAAGGTGAAAATCAGATCTTATATTTAGGAACAGATGAAATTCTGTTTTTTGTTGCAAGAGACATTCCAATTAAAAAAGCATGAAAAAGTTACCAAAAAAATAAAAAGCATGTAAAATGCCCCTTCAATTGGTGAGTCAAAAGACAGAATTGATACATACGTATATATACATATTGCTTCCATATAATTGTGAATATAACTACTATTAATTTATTAGTAGCATATATAAATTGTAAAACGGAAAACATGTTCTTGTGAATTTTAAGATATAATCCAAAAGCTGTTCGGCCGAAATATAATAGTACAAACATTATAAGGCGTGATATAAATAATCATTATTCAGGCCCAAAAGAAGATACGAAATCATTATGTCGGAAAAATATGAATGTACTTTCTCCGATTAATTTTATTAGTTATTTATTACTAATTCATCAAAATTAATTTATCTCTATTTAAAAAAGAATAATTTAATATATAAAAAAATTTTAAAAAATTGAGATATTATAAATTTTTTTTTTTGAAGTAAAATGTTGTCTCAGTTCAAGTTTCGTATAAAGGAATTTCATGAAGAGTTTCAATTAGGATGGTAGGGGTAGATGATTGATCTCTGATTTCATGGGAGAGAAAAGTGGTCAAAGATGCATGATTCCCCGGTCCATGGATGAAAAAGGGTCAAAGTTTTCAACTTTGTTGAAAGAGAGTAAAAGTAAAACAAAGATCACAACAGTCACTTTGGATCCCAAATGGGTCAAAGATTTGGCTCCAACTTTATTGAAAAAGTGTAAAAGGAATACAAAGTTCACAACATTTAGGCTGGACTGGAAACAGGGAAGTGATATGTATTTTTTTTTTTTCTTTTTGGTAGCACTCTATGTGTAGCATCGTGTCTCAGTAAAATAATAAAACAATTAATAGCGTGGAAGTCATCTATATCTTTAATAAATTTTTAAAATTTTTTAAAAGGTCCACTGTCAAATTTTAAAATTATAAAACCCTTTCTATTTGATCTAAAATTTTCTGGATTAGATAAAATTGAGCCTAAATTGTGTATTTATGCATTGCTCAATTTTTAGCTGAAATTAATTGCAAGAAATTGACCTATTGGTATTGAATAGTAGTATTTTTCTATGTTTAATCTTGTGATGATACTTAAAATTTTTGATTGACTAAAATGCAAAAATTAATTCACAAAAAATAAATGTACATAGATAAATCTTTATGTTGCTGTTCCATAACAGTCGTATTTAGGATCAATTGTCTGATGTCATATTTTCCTCTTTTTTTTTTAAAAAAAAAAGCCTAGAACCTTCTTTTTAAATTAAAGGTCAATTGTCATACAATTAAGAGTAATTTACCATATCATGCAAATCATTAAAACTAAACTGCTGAAAATAATTGTTCCATCTAGGAAGCTTAGACCGAGATAGGATTTCTATTAGGACAACTTCTAAAACTTTTGAGATTTATCTGCTGTTCGACCTTTAATTTTTTTAGAAAAATCCTTGCTTGTTTGTGATGGATGCAATAGATGGAAATGTCAGAGAAACCTGTTTTAAGAATATTTATAAAAAACAAGTTAAACAATACAGTGGGTGGTAGTAATAAAAGCTGTAGGATCTCTGAGGAGGAAAAACGCAAAAACGTTCAATGATTTCAATTTCAAGCAACACTTGGGATTCCCTTACAACCTTAATAGCTGTCTTCCAGACTTACTCAAATCAATAGCATTTTCACATTGGTGTCTTGCTTTGCAGATAACATTAAATATTAAATACTCCTTTTTGTTCATAATACAAAGTATTCTATGACACTTTTTAAAAGTCATACTATCTAAAATATATTAAAATTAGAATATTGTGTAGTTTTCATAATGTTTTCCTGTTCTTACTTCATTTATTATTGTTTTTCACACATTATTTTTATTAAGATAATTCTTTTTTAACTCTCTCCTCATGCTCATGTACATCACTTTAATATTTTAAATAAAAATATAAATAACATTAAAATAATCTACAACCAATTCTCTCAATTTTCGTTGGGGCCAAATTCAATCAATCAGTTGAAGAAATCCCAATTCATTCAAACTTCAAATCCACCAACCAGTTTCCGGGACTCGTCTTTTTTGCAGGTAACGCGCTTTAAATGCGGAGGTGTCTCACTGGGTGTCGGTATGCAACACCACGCAGCAGATGGGTTCTCTGGCCTTCACTTCATCAACACATGGTCTGACATGGCTCGTGGCTTTGACCTCACCGTCCCGCCCTTCATTGACCGCACTTTGCTCCGAGCACGTGACCCACCTCAGCCTGTCTTTGAGCACATTGAATACAAGCTCCCTCCAACCATGAAGACCCCTCTTCAAGTGCAACCCTCAAAACCAGGTTCAGACAATAATGCTTCAGCAGCAGTCTCCATCTTCAAGATGACTCGTGACCAGCTCAATGCCCTGAAAGCCAAGTCCAAAGAAGATGGTAACACCATCAACTATAGCTCTTATGAGATGCTTGCTGGTCATGTCTGGAGAAGCACGTGCAAGGCACGTGGGCTTCCCCATGATCAAGAGACCAAGTTGTACATTGCAACTGATGGACGGTCTAGATTACAGCCACCCCTTCCACCAGGTTACTTTGGGAACGTGATCTTCACGGCCACGCCCATGGCTGTGGCTGGTGATCTCATGTCAAAACCAACTTGGTTTGCAGCCAGCAGGATTCATAATGCACTTGCCAGAATGGACAATGAGTATTTGAGATCGGCTCTGGACTATCTAGAGCTTCAACCTGATCTGAAAGCTCTGGTTCGTGGGGCTCATACTTTCAGGTGTCCAAATCTTGGAATCACAAGTTGGGTTAGGCTTCCAATACATGATGCTGATTTTGGATGGGGAAGGCCTATATTTATGGGACCTGGTGGGATTGCATATGAAGGACTATCTTTTATAATTCCAAGCTCAGCAAACGATGGAACCTTGTCAGTGGCAATAGCTCTACAGCCTGAGCACATGAAGGTGTTCAAGGAAGTCTTGTATGAGATTTGATGCAGAGGCCTTCAGGAACGCCAAAATGCTCAAAGGGGTGTTTTTCTTTCTTTTGGAAAAACAAAAATTTACTTTGGTTTAACCATATTTACATGTGTCATTATTGAGACTCGTTCCATTTTACCAGAGACTATCATATGGCTCTGCATAGTATAGTATAGTTCTGTAAACTTAAAAGGAACTTCAGAAACAAGTGCAATACTTGTTTTGGATCACATCTGAGAAAGATTTGTTGAACAAATGCCATTTTGTCAGGGTAAGCTATGTAGCTTATGCTATGCATGAGTTTATCCGCGGCAATAGCTCTGCAGCCTGAGCATGATGGTGTTTTAGGATTTGTTGTATAGCATTTGAGGAATTGAAAATGACTACTGACTTATTTCTATAAGTTTCTACACTAGTAATCTAGCCAAATTGAATGCGAAATCTTGCAGTTGCTATTGCTGGCAATAAAAATTAGTAGTAGCAATGTAAGCAAGTCACTCAAGCTGCTGCGGAGGCCTTGAAAGAAAATCAGTGTTAAAAATATTGGGCGCCAGCTACTTTACTTGCTGACTTGCTAAACCTGTATAACTTGGCCTGATGCTTTTGCGTATGATATGTGCAAGTGAAGCTATGTGCAAGTGAAGCAGCATGTATAAGACAATTCTAGCGAGCAAGTGTACAAGTGTGAGAGATATGTGTATGCGTAGGGATGGGCGAGGAGTTATAAAGTTTTAGTTAGTCAAATAATGGGATATCGAAACTTTTAGTGTTTTAAAACTGTTTCAATTATCAATTTAATCCCTGAAGTTTAATTTTGAGAGAATATCAATGAAGGACTACTAAAATAATTTAATATTAAATCAAGATTTGGACAGATTAAATATTTTTTAAAATTTAAACTTTCACTTGTCAATTGTTAATGTTTACTTAATATAAGTTTTTGTCTGGTATTAAATCATTTCAGAAATCTATTGATATTCTTCCTTTAATTTTTATTAATCAAGTTTCCAAACTTCATTGACCAAATTGATTGAAAAATGTTAAACTTCAGGGAATAAATTAATAATTAAGATATATTTGAAGGCCTCAACAAGGAGACCTTTTGTATTCTATTTCATACTTTAGTGACCCCCTATTCCTACTTTCATAGCAGCATGTCTCAGTTAAACCTCTTGATTTTTCTTCTTACTCCCAAATTTTTTTAACTTATCAGCTTATATATAACTCCCCGTCGGGTATACCTCAAGTTTTTTTTTTTTTTTTTTGGGTCAATTCTTAATTAAATTCATCATAGACATCATTTTACGATATGCTTGGGATGGTAGTTACAGTACCGTGCAGTGCACATAGCAAAAGCATGCAGTCATGACATCAATTGAGATAAACTATTCAAAATTCCTAACAGGCAGAAATGTAAAGAAAAAAAAAAAAAAAACTGATGAGGAAAGAAAGCTCATGAAGACATAGGCTTTCGCATTTAACTTGTCTAGAACACCTCAGAAGAAGTGAAAGGAAAAGAGAAAGGTTAAACCAAGGCTTCCATGAAGAACTAATGCTGAAGTCCAGGATGACACTAATGGAGAAGAACATTGAGAGCGAGGATCTCGATGATTGACATTTGAACCCCCAGTGACTGCTTTTCCTCTCTGTGCTTTACTTGTTTCATAAAATTCTTCATGCTTTTCTTCAACTTTACTGTCCTTTAATATGCTTCCACATCTCTCCGGTCTCTCTATATAGTAAAAAAAAAAAAAAAGGGTTAATCAAATTAAGTAAAAGTAGAATAATGGGACATCTCTGAAACTTTTGGAACTGATATGGCTTGCTATTTTTGAAAGCTAAGGAATTCTTACCGTGGACATTCTGTTTTTGGACATTGCCGCTTGACTGGTTCAGAGCTCTCAGTTCTGAGCTTGATCTGGCTTCAGTACATGACACAAACAGGAAAAGTGTTAGTAATTTTACCTTCATCTCAGGATACAGTAAGAGATACTCAGACCCTGTTTGATCTGTTCTGTTCTGTTCTTCTAACTCACTGTTATTTATAATCAAAATAAAAAAAAAAACAAAATATAAAATAAGGTTGCGTTGAGGACAAGCAGAGACAGCTCAACGAATCTCAGAGACCTTGGTCGGTATCAGATTCTTGTCCGGCTCATGTTTAAACCTCACAATATTAATGGCGACAATCAGAATCAGTATATTTGCATGTTTCTTCACTTCCTTTTTTAAAAAAAATTGGTATGAATGTTTCTTTAAGTCTTTGGCTCCTTTCATAAACTCGAATTTCAGATATTGTTCTTATTCCGTGCCTTAAATTGACTTGTCTCCGTGATTCTCCCCGGGAAGTTGGAGAAAGGGTGAAGTGACATATCTAACTAGAAAGTACTAAATATGCTATGAAGTTCTCAGATAAGTGCTTAATCAAAATTTGTTGGCATAAGTTGAAACGATATTTTCATATTTAAACAGAATATATAGCATCTGGTTCAGTGAACTGATTTTTTTTATTGTTAGAAAAGAAAGAACATGATTGAAATTCAGACTTCAAGAGCCAACAAAAGTAAGCCCAATTGATAAGAAATGTCCAATTGATAAAAATTTACTTCTATTTTCTAAGAGCATGAACTAATGGATATATTTATAAAATATAAATGCTTATTTAACCGTGAAAGAAACAAACCCTAACGCTAAAGCCTCAAATCTAATTCACCTGAAACTTATGTCACCAACAAAAAGTAGAACCATGCGATGAAGTTCTAATTAGGGTTAAAAACAAGTTATAGTTACTTGGTTGTTAGTAATTAAGCTAGTTACTTTACAGCTGTAATTTCTAATTTATCACATGTATATAAGTTTATATGTCGTGAAAAGAATAAACAGGATCAAATACAGATCTAAAATGTCAACTAATATTTGCCTACTAAGCGATGCAATGTTGGGAAGAATGTTGTCTGAAATTTAAATTTCAAGGAGAAATATAGAAAATAGCAGAAAGCTACATTGAACAAAACGTGAACAGATGGATTCTTTATTTCACACAACACACAAAGAAAAAAATTCAGCTGATCTGATACCATCTGCATTCCATTACTATATCATCTCACACCACACCATGCTTGATGTTTCCCAAAACATAAGAGGAATCTGCTAAACACAAACCAAAAGATACAGTGATATGAAACCTTTCTAAAATTTGAAGCCTCAGGTTCAGTCAACCTCTTCAATCTTAGGCCCAGCGCCCGAGCCTGCAGAGCCGCCGCTGCCGCCACGAGGCATCTGAGCGCCGCCCATAGGATTATCTCCACCACCAGCACCACCTTGATACATCTTTGCAATGATAGGGTTGCACAATCCTTCAAGCTCCTTCAGCTTGTCCTCAAACTCATCAACTTCAGCCAACTGGTTCCTATCAAGCCACTCCATAGTCTCATCAATGGCTTTCTCAATCTTCTGTTTGTCTGAAGGATCTAGCTTCCCTCCAACCTTGTCGTCCTTGATGGTGTTCCTCATACTGTAAGCATAATTCTCCAATGAATTCTTTGCTTCCACCTTCTTCTTCACCTGCTCATCCTCTGATTTGTACTTCTCTGCTTCTTGCACCATCCTCTCTATCTCCTCCTTGCTCAGTCTTCCTTTGTCATTTGTAATTGTGATCTTATTCTTCGCTCCTGTTGTCTTATCTTCTGCAGAAACATTCAGAATACCATTCGCATCGATGTCGAAGCAAACATTGATCTGAGGCACTCCTCTTGGTGCTGGTGGGATTCCCTTGAGCTCAAATGTGCCAAGCAAGTTGTTATCTTTGGTTCTAGCCCTTTCACCTTCATAGACTTGGATCAGGACACTGGTCTGGTTATCGGAGTAAGTGGAAAAAACTTGTTCTTTCTTGGTGGGTATGGTGGTGTTCCTAGGAATTAACACAGTCATGACCCCACCTGCAGTTTCAATTCCAAGGCTTAGAGGTGTGACATCTAGAAGAAGCAAGTCTTGAACTTTCTCATTGCCATGACCACTCAAGATTGCAGCTTGAACAGCAGCTCCATAAGCCACAGCTTCATCTGGGTTTATGCTCTTGCACAGTTCCTTACCGTTGAAGAAATCTTGCAGAAGCTGCTGCACTTTGGGAATTCTAGTGGACCCACCAACAAGAACCACGTCATGAACTTGACTCTTGTCGATTTTTGCATCTCTCAGACATTTCTCCACTGGTTCCATGCATTTCCTGAACAAGTCCATGTTCAGCTCTTCAAATCTCGCCCTTGTGATGGTCGCATAGAAGTCAATACCTTCATAAAGAGAATCAATCTCAATGGTTGTTTGTGTTGTTGAAGACAGCGTCCTCTTTGCTCTCTCACAAGCTGTCCTCAATCGCCTAAGAGCTCTTGCATTTCCACTTATGTCCTTCTTGTTCTTCCTCTTGAACTCCGCCACGAAGTGATTCACAAGCCTGTTATCAAAATCTTCACCTCCCAAGTGGGTATCACCAGCTGTAGCTTTCACTTCAAAAATTCCTTCTTCAATTGTCAACAATGAAACATCAAAAGTACCACCTCCAAGGTCGAAGATAAGCACGTTCTTCTCGCCGGTTCTAGAGCCTTTCTTGTCCAATCCATAGGCAATAGCTGCAGCGGTGGGCTCGTTGATGATTCTCATCACGTTAAGCCCAGCAATAGCGCCAGCATCTTTCGTCGCTTGCCTCTGTGAATCATTGAAATAAGCAGGCACGGTGATGACGGCGTTCTTAATGGTCTGACTCAGAAACGCTTCGGCCACTTCTTTCATTTTCGTGAGGACCATGGAGGATATTTCTTCAGGAGCAAAATGTTTCTCTTCGCCTTTGTAGTGAACGACAATCATGGGCTTGTCGCCGGCACCGGGAACGACCTTGAAAGGCCAGAGCTTCATGTCGTTTTGAACAGACGCGTCGAGAATCTCCGTCCGATGAGTCGTTTGGCGTCGAAGACGGTGTTCTGTGGGTTCATGGCCACTTGATTCTTGGCCGCATCGCCGATCAAACGCTCTGTGTCAGTGAAAGCTACGTAAGAAGGAGTGGTCCTGTTACCTTGATCATTAGCAATGATCTCGACGCGGTCGTTTTGCCACACCCCGACGCAGCTGTAGGTGGTGCCAAGGTCGATGCCGATGGCCTTTTCAGTGGCGGACGCCATTGGAGAAGCTGCTTCAGCGAGACACTATGTGTTGAGGTGTGAATGAAACAGAGGAATATTGCGGAAGAGCTTCAGATGATGAGAGCTTAACGAATATGTGGATTGAATTTGACGAAGGTAAAAGCAAAGGAGAGATTTGAATTTATAGGGATGAGTGGGAAAAGATCTGAGTGAAGAAGAGAAGGTGGTGGAAGGGACTAGCCTGTGCATGAGAGTGATGACGGGAGAATAAGAAAGAGGAATCGAGAGAAGCAACCACCAGAGAGTTCTGGAGAGAGGTTGAGCTGGGTACGTAGCAGGGCCAGGTTCGAGGGAACAGCTCAAGTACTCATTGTAATGATCGTATTGAGAGCTTAAATAAATTTAATTTAAATGATTTAAATTTATAATTTTTTTGTTTTTTAAATAAATTTATTTTAATTAATATAAAATTTCAAATAAAAATCATCTCACAACTGTTAGTTTGTAAAAAATAATTTTTCATTTGAAAAAATCAATTAAAAAATTATAAATTTAAATCATTAAAATTAAATCTAAACACTTTCAATACTCATCATATAGATGAGCAATATATATATATATGTATGTATGTATATAGATATATAATTTTTTTTTGTTTTAAGAAAAATTAATCTCCAACCATAGTTCTTATTTTCAATTAAGTTTTCATAGTTAATTTTATTTTAATCAAATTCTTATAATTTAATTTAATTGATTAAATATATTAGTAAAGGTTAAAATTATTAATTTTTTAAATAAAAACAATTTTAAAATTTATAAAAATTATTCAATATTTTTAGACAAAAAATCAAAGAAAATTTAATTTAACACAGTGTTTATATTTTTATTAATTTTTTGTGAAAATTCTATATATATAAAAGTTATTTAGAAAATATAACCTAAATGTGTAAATTTTGAATCATACAAATTATGAAATTATTCTAACGTTGATTTTTTTAAAAAAAATATATAGAGTCCATGATTTTTTTTAAAGAAAAAATGTAAATACTTTAATCCCTAAGAGTTGACATATTTAATCAATTAAAAATTTGATTAAAACAAAACAAATTACAAGATCTAATTTAAAATTGAAAAAAATTAAAAGAATTGTAGATTAATTTTCTTTGTTTTATTAACAAAATTTAACACCTCTCATCATTTAAATAAGTAATAGGAGATTCAAATCATATTATATATTCCCTTCGTTAAAAAATATAACACATTTTTTGAGGAGTTAAATATTAAAAAATATAAGACATTTTTAATTTTTTGAGGTGTAATCATTACATTTTTTTAAAAGTACCTCTATTGATAATGACTTTAGATTTATTTTAAGGTGTTTAATAGAGATAAATATGAAAAGATATAGTTAGTTTGAAAGTAGGTAACTATTTTATTGGAAGTGAAATTTAATTAAAAACATCTTATATTTTTTAATAGAGGGAGTATTTAGTAATTTAGTTGAGATTAATCTACAAATTTTTGGATTTAATTAACATTAAGAATTAAGATGAGATTTTTCCATAGTTGTTAAAAATTTACATGTAATTATTTGGGAAAAATGAAAAAAATAATTTATTAAAAAATGTTAAAATTTAAGAATTTAATTCTAAGACACAATTTTTAGAAAAAAAATATAATAATAAATTATTTAAAGGTCATTGTTGATAAAATGGGAAAGAAGATAAAAAAGCATTAATTTTTTGGGTAAGGAAGAAGGGCTAGGCCCTAATTACATGAAATTAAACAAAGGGAATTGAGATCCAAGCGCTTATTGTGCCAACATATCAGCTATCGTGTTCTGCACCTGAAATTTTCCTAACCTGAACATCC